TTTGTAATACAATAGTTTTGTATTGAAGCATAATTTTTGACTTTGCAACATTTAATTTTGAAAAAATGAACAGTCAATATTGTGAGTCATCTCAGTACTTGATATTTTAGCACTAAAACAGAAAAGGGAGGGAGGAAGGGTCATTTCTGAGCTCCATTCACTGCCTGTTTTGTGTCCAAACTGCAGTACTGGAACATATTGTTGGAAATGCAAGCGATTTACGATTCTCGTATGTGTCTGCAATCAGAATCCAGACACTTGAGAAAGTGTTGGAGGTGAGAGCCAAGATGTGCGTTCGTCCTTGCGTGTCTTTGGCTACTGAGAAAGAGCGCAGGAGAGAAAGAGATGAATAAGGGCTTCCAGAGGAAGATGATGGGTGATGAGAGACGTTTGGGATATATCTATAACAGACGGAAACAAAATCACATCATCAAACAATAGTAAGAGAGAAATATGAGCCTACAGGCCTTAAGGGACAACAACACTGAAAAGCTAGACTTTTACAACATTTATCTTCATCAGGCCACCTTCAGCCAGAGAGAGAGAGAGAGAGAAACTGACATTCATCACGTCTCTTTCTCACATATTTAAAACCAAAACTTAAAGTCTGTACAGAAAACACTTCATTAAAACAGTTGAAAAGTTCTTTTAACATTTCAAACAAAGGTTTCAGCCTAAAAACCAAAAGTGCAAGTTTTTTTAACACTGTGGTTCCAGCTCGAATAAAAAGTTCAGTAAATGTGCTGCTTGTGCTTATTACATCCAGTCTTGCACCATTTATCAGTGGCTCTTCCAACAACCAAAATAAAGAGTTTGCAGTTTCAGACTTCTTCACATTAAAACATCTCCAAACCTTAAAAAGGTTTTGATAGAAAACAGGTAAACATGAAGTGTCAATCTTATTAGGGTCCATCAAAAACAAGGATTTGTCCAAGTTCAAACCTTGAACAGATTTCAGTATGACACTGGTTACTGTTCTCCAACTCACATTTTCTGAATCCTTAAGAAATCTCTGCAAAAACTGTAATCGAAAAACAGCAGTCCTGCTTTGCAGATGGACCAGTCCTTGTCCACCTTCCTCTTTTGGTAAATACAAAATATTATGTATTACCCAATGAAACTTTTCCCAGAAAAAATCTATTAAAATTGATTGTATCTTTGCCAATAAATAGGTTGGTGGATCAACACAAGCCAACCGATGCCACAAAAAAGACGCAACCAAATTATTTATTATAATTGTTCTTCCTCTGTACGACATTGCTGATTTAAGCCACTTCCACCTTTCCAATCGACCTTTTATCTTTTCAATTACTCCTTCACAATTCTTCTGCACAGTAGCTTCATCACCCAACTACACTCCCAAATATTTAAAACCATCCCTTTTCCATATTAAACCACCTGGTAGATCTGGTATTTTATCTTTCCACTTTCCAAGCAACACTGCATCACTTTTTTTCCAATTGATTTTTGCAGAAGAAATAGATTCAAACTCACTGGATACTCTTATTACACTTTTTATATCTTTATGGCCTTCAATCATTACAACAATGTCATCAAATTTCAAATTCAGATCAAGTTCGTTCCCTTTATTTAAAATCATATATGTAAACCTCCTGAAAGAAACAAGGTGTTTCAATAACTCAGATTTACTACCGATTGCGATCTTTTTAACAACGTTCAGTTATATGGATTAGATATGGATTCTTACGTGGACGAATTGTAACCTCATTTTTTTAAGAGTAACTTACTATTTATTTACAAATGAATAGTAAGAATCACTTGTGTATGTAGTTACATAAAGAGCAGGCGACCTCAAAATTGTCTGTGTACATCTGCATTAGATGGATAACTTTGGGCAAGATTATTTTATATTATTATTGTATTTAATTTTTAAATGGAATTCATTCTATTTAATATTTGTTTTTATTTAATTACATTTTTTATTTATTTTGCCTATTTTTATTATTTAAATTTTTAACAGAAATTTATTTTATTTTGTCTTATTTTATTTTGTTTTGTTATTGTATTGTCTTTCTTTTAATTTAATTAATTAATTAATTAATTAATTAATTGATTTGTATTTTATTTTGCCTATTTTTATTATTTTTTATAGATTTTTTAATAATTTTTTTCTTATTTTGGTTTTGTATTGTTTTATTTTATCTAATTGTTTTGGTTTATTTTTATTTAAAATAAATGTAATTTTATTGTCTTTTAATTTTATGTATTTATTTGTTTGTTTTATTTTATTTTTATGTATTTTTTAAATTCCCATTTACATAACATATGTCTAAGCTGTCATAGAAGATCATAGAAGGTTACATAATTCTACTACCTACATTTTGAGACATTAACATGCCTGTGAGGCCCAAAAAAGTTATAGAAATATGATTAAAAAAACTGATAAAAAATACAACAAAACAGTGGTCACATGATCCAATTTTGTCCTCATTTTTTCTAGCAACGATGTTTTACTTCTGTTCATATGAGATCAAGGTAAATTAGATCTTCACAGTTATGAAATTTCATAGGCATCTGCGCGGTCTAATTTGATATGATTTAAACTTTCTCTGACCTTTGTTAATAAGCTTGAGTGAGACTGATTGGTCTCCATGAGGGCTGTGTAAAAGAGCACATCACACTTTCACCATGTTCTGCTCATATGGCCCAGAAGTAAATAAATAAATAGCAGTGAATTGAATCTGCTGTCTTATTAACCTTTAGAAGAGGTTTTTGAACATATGGAGAGTGTAATTCTGTCAGTGTTCGCAGCTTCTCTTTAGTAGGTTTCTCTGCACTTCTACAAATGATAACAAATCTGGCCGCCTTTATCTGGGCTCTTTCTTTCTCAGGGGCCTCATCAATACATCGATATATATCCTCTGTCAGCACCGTCCGCTGCAGATCATCTCTGTCTGTGTGTTACCGAGGGAAATAAAGCCAGGTTTCGCAGCGCTTTGCTTTGTTATTGACTTTTTTGGAACATGGCATGTTTGAGCTGATACTTACATGGACAGCACTCAAAGACATTAATAAACTACCAGCTGTAGTATTGATTTCTAAGCATACACAATTACTGCCCATCACATTTGTGTTGAGCCTATTTTGTCTTTTGGCTGTGAAGAGGATGTTGATATTTTTTAAACGCTCATTATTTTCACAGTCGCCCACCTAGAATTTCAAGAGCCGTTTAATGTGTCAGATACTCCGAGCTGGCCGTGATCAGCTTGTTTTCAGCATTAGACCGAAGTCTTTGGGCCATGTGTAGTATCTTGCTGTTTTCAGTGTCTTGTGGCTCATTAAATATTTTTTTATTTTATTTTATTTTATTTTATTTTATTTTATTTTATTTTATTTTATTTTATTATTTTTATTTAATTACATTTAATTTCTTTTATTTTGTCTTGTTTGTTTTTTTATTTTATTTTGTCTTATTTTGTTTAATTGTATTCCATTATTTTATTGTATTGCATGCATTTATTTATTTAAATTAATTTTATATTGTCTTATTGTTGGGTTATTTATTTTATTATATTATTTCATTTATTTTTAATTTTAATTTACTTTGTTTTATTTTATTTTGCCTTATTTTTAAATTTTATCTCTTGTATTTTGATTTTATTTTTGTTTCATTTAATTTAATTAGTGTATTTTTTATTTTAATTTATTTCACCTTGTGCGTTTTCATTTTATTGTGTTGTATTTTATTTTATTTTATTTTACTTTATTATTATTCTTTTTTTAATCATTCCCTGTTCATCCCAGAAGCTGTTGTTCTTGAACATCAATGAAGGTTATATAATTCCACTTAAAATTTGAAACATTACCATGCCTGTGAGGCCCCCAAAAAAGTGCTATAATATGATTAGGCAGTTTTGAGATGAAGTCACAGCAGAACTACCACTAAGATTGTGGCCAAATCATCCACTTTTGTCCTAATTTCTAATAGGGAGGATTTTTATATTTTTTGAACATGTATAATTTTTACAGTTGCCCACTATAAGTTCAAGAGCCATCAGCAGAGTTACGAGTGAGTGTTTCAGCATCAGACCGACTTTTCTAAAGTCTCTCTCGCTGTTTTGAGAAACCGCTGGCTCTTCTGGCAGTTTCTCCTTCACATTAATGCCTCGGGGAAATTCAGAGGCTGTAATGGCTCTCTCTGTATCGCTGTCCGGTTCACTTTCCAGAGCCGGCGTTCACATGTTTGTGTGATCTGATTGACGCTTATTCACAGGTGGATCTGGAGACAGTCGTCTGAGAGCCTTTAGCCACCGCTTGCTCTTACTCTGCTTTACATACGGCTTGAGTTAAACAAGTCAACAGGAATGATTCTAAATCCGCCTAATGATTTTGGTGCAACAGATTCCATTCCTCAGCAAATAAAATAAAAAAACAGTATTTTGTCATGCTTCCTAGGAAATGATCAAAACATCATAAAAACAAGATAAATTGCATAAGATAAAGACCTAAGGCTAATGATGATGATGATGCTGATGATTATGCTGCTGATGCTAATGCTGCTGCTGATGCTGATGCTGTTGCTGATGATGCTAATGCTGCTGATGATGATGCTGCTGCTGCTGATGATTCTGCTGCTGATGCTGCTGATGCTGTTGCTGCTGCTGCTGCTGCTGATGATGCTGATGATGCTGCTGCTGCTGATGATGCTGATGATGCTGCTGCTGATTCTGCTGCTGCTGCTGATGATTCTGCTGCTGCTGCTGCTGCTGATGATGCTGATGCTGATTATGATGCTGATGCTGATGATGCTGCTGCTGCTGATGCTGCTGCTGCTGCTGCTGATGATGCTGCTGCTGCTGATGATGCTGATGCTGATGATGCTGCTGCTGCTGATGATGCTGCTGCTGCTGCTGATGATGATGAGGCTGCTGCTGCTGATGCTGCTACTGATGATGCTGCTGCTGATGCTGCTGCTGCTGCTGATGATGATGATGATGCTGCCGATGATGCTGATGAAGCTCACGTCTCTCTGTCTGCAGCTCAGGGTCTGGTGTTTCCTCCGCTGGCGCTCTGGCTGACCGTGGCTCTGGCTGTGTGTTTGCTGGCTCTGCTGGTCGCTCTGGCCGCCGTCTGCCGCAGGAAGATCAGAGAGAGCTGTGAGGAGATGAGAGCCGGTGAGGAACACATTACATAACCATAGTCTGCATCTCTGGATCCTCATCCGCTCTTAACGTGTGCGGCTGAGTTTAGGCCTGGTCTCATTCTCAGATGTCATGGCCTCGACACACTTTCATATTATTGTGTATTATTTTAGACCGGCCTTAAACCAGCTGTGGTGGGTCACTCTAAATGTCCAGAAGTCAAACTTCATGCCACTAGACACAATTCTGGCTACACGAGGCCTACTAATGAGAGAATGTTTCAATGGTCTTTACTCCTATATATAAATATGTAGTAAAGTATGATAAAGTTTGTGTGTGTGTTAATGTTAATTAAGTTACATATATTTAATTTTTAATTATGTAATTAAAATAATACAATTAATCAATATGATAATAAAATGAATTTTGAAATGTAAAAATAATAAATCAATAAATTACATTTAAAAATAAATCATAAGATTAATCACGTTAACCACATAATTAAAAAAAAGTTATACAATTTATTGCATATAAACATATTGCAACATATTACATGAAATATTAATATTAATTAAATTACATATATGTAATTTTCAATTATGTAGTTAGAAATAAATAATAATATAATTGATATTAATATGATAATATTGATAATTAATTCAAAATAAAAAATAAATAAATAATGAAATATAAAAAATAATAAACCAATAAATTAAATTTAAAGGGTCTTCGGATGCCCATTTTCCAGAAGTTGATATGATTCTTTAGCGTCTTAATGAAATGTCTATAACATACTTCGGTCAAAATTTCTCAATGGTAGTGTAAAACATCACCCATTTAACCTGTCAAAAACAGCTCTGTTCACAGCGAGCTGTTTCGGTGCATGTACCTTTAAATGCTAATGAGCTCCACTGACCCCGCCCCTCTCTTCTGTGGGGTGATGCCAAGCGGCAACCTCCCGCTCTCTCTCGTGAAGCCAACAAGGAAGTGACTTAAACTGTAATTCATCAACTGGCCGCTGCAAAAGGGAGTCAGTCCCATAGACACCCCATGTTAAAATGCCCAACTTTACAGCAGAAAAAAACATGTTTACAGCCTGGTTCAAAAAATGATTTTGGTCTATATAGCTAATTTTGCCCTTCATGACAACGTTTTTATACAGTCTATGGTTGATGCGCAGTTCTCTGAGAGACGGTAAACTTTAACCGCATTCATCGTGAAACTTGCTAACTAGTACATTATTAGGAAAGGCGATTTGCAAAATTAATTAAAAAACCTTATACTCACTTCTTCTGTAGGTGAAGCTGGATCACGAATGATTCGCGTGAACATAGACGCCGGCTCAGATGTCGGGAGTAAATGACGACTGCTATGTTCATTATTACATCCAACAACAGAACACCTCAATCGCTTAGGAGACATTCTGTTCTACTCCTGCCCCAGCGTCAAAACAATGGAGGACTGTTTACAGCTCACTCAGGGCGGAGCTAAGTTAAAACACCAGTGTCAATCAAACAATCGTGGGAGGGGCCTGGGTCTATGTGACATCACACAGCCAAGAATCTGAGAACGGCTTGATTTTAGAAAGGGGTCATGATTTATCAATATTTAAAAAAGAAAAACACTGGGTGGATTTTTATCACTACAGGGTGGTTGTGTACACACACTGCCAACACACATTTCAGTGCAAACAACATGTAAAAGTAAATTTTCCATCCGATGACCCCTTTACATTTTTTTTATAAAAATCATGAGATTAACCACGTTATAAATTGAATTTTAAAAAAGGAGAAAAAATATATATGAAAAATAAACACACACACACACACACACACACATATATATATACAAATAAAAAAAAATTATATTTAAATATTGTAAATAAATACATAAATAATTTTGTAACACTTTACAATGTGTCATTTGTTAACATGAGTTAATGTATTAACTAACATGAACGAACAATGAACAATATTTATTACACTGTTTTTAATCTTTGTTAATGTTAGTTAATGAAAATACAGTCGTTCATTGTTCGTTCATGTTAGTTCACAGTGCATTAACTAATGCTAACAAACACAACTTGTGATTTTAATAATGCATTAGTAAATGCTGGTTAACCTTAACTAAGAATAATAAATGCTGCAGAATTATTGTTCATTATTAGTTCATGTTAACAAATATAGTTAACTAATGAAGCTTATTGTAGAGTGTAACCAATAATTTTTAATAAATCAAATGAAATCATGAGATTAATCACCAAATGTTTTATTATATTATATAGTGACAGCCATAGTTTTCTTGCTTTTAGCTGTATGCATCTAGCAGTACTATAATGGTACATAAAAAAGATACAATGTCCACTTAATAGAAAGTGAATATTTTTCAGATAATATTTAAAACAATGTAATGCATAAAAGTCTATGTATCAGCTTTGATCTTAGAAAGGAGGTCCCTCACAAGGGAATAATCATGTTTGGGGGTCCGTGGCATCAAAACGTTTCAGTCCCCCTGTGTGAAGATAATAGTGTGCAAACTCACACATAGCACACAGTTTGTTGTTTTGTCTGCATGGCTCAGTTCATCATTCACACGGCCGCCGCTCTGAGCTGAATGCTAAAGCCAGAGGAGTCCCGTTCTGCCAAAACCCCACTCTCCTCCAGTGTCGCTGAAGTTCATTAGCGCCATGAGATAATTAGTCGCGCCGTGTAACTAGGGAGCGCAGAACTTGGAGGTTGAAATGACAGGAAGAAAGACTGATGTGTGGAGGAGAAGTGCTGGCAGAGAGATAGAGATGGATTCAGCCGTCACGTGAAGGGACCGATGAGGCGTAATGAGGTCTGTGTCTGGAGCAGGAGACATTTAAATAAAGGTAATTGCAGCACTGCACGGGACTTCTGGGCTTTTAAAAATACATCTGCAACTGCGAGACAGAGAGTGGGAGAAAGAGTAAATATCTGGCCAGAGAACCACAGCAAACAGTGAAATGGAATGGAATGAACATGTGGTGAGTCTAGAGCAAATAAACTAACTCTTTCTCCAGTAACCCATGCAGGAATTCTGGAATAAGATTCGGTGAACGGGTCAGCAGTCTGTTGAAGTAATTGAGTTGTTGAGTGAGTCAGATACTCCGCTTTCCCATTCCACTCCTGCTGTTCTCGTCTCCCCGTCAGTGGCCTGGCTTTTGAGCTGAAATTTGGCACTGTAATTAGCCTTTTCCAAGTCTGGTTCTCACTGGAGAACTTGTTCCTGTTGCAGCTTGTCATCAGCTTTTAGTCAATAACATTTTCAGTTTGACATGGCTAAAACTGCAGAAATTTTTTGCAGCTTAGTTTATTGTATATTATACAATTTAGTTTATTAGACCACTTATTAAGAAATTAATTGTATATAAATAATAAAAATAAAAATACTAATTATTTGGGTAACACTTTATTATAAGGTGTCCTTGTTACACATATTGCATGTATTTACTATTATTATAACAATTAATTATGCATAATTACATGCAAGTAACCCTGAGCCAAACCCTAATCCTAATCCTAACCCTAACCATAAAGTAAGTACATGTAGTTAATTAATATTACTCATACTTAAATGTATAATTACACTGTAACAAGGACACCTTAAAATAAAGTGTAACCATTATAAATAAATTATTAGGAATAGTTTCAATAATATTCATTTAATAATAATAATTAATATTTAATAATAATATTTCTTGTAAATATTTATGTGTAATTATTTAACAGATTAAATACAATTATTTATATAAAATAAATAATTATATTAAATAGCTTTAATAATATTCATTCTGCAATTCTGTAAATAATAAATTTATATGAAATTATAAAAATAAATCAAATAAAATTATTTATTTAAATAATTACATTTAATAGTTGAAATAATATTAAATATATTAAATCATATCATGGTCTGTCTGAATACTCAATTCTGATTGGCCGGCAGGTATGCATTAAAACTTGGTAGTTCCAAGTCAGTTTGATAATCGTTCTGTATTAATGTGCTGCTTTCATTAACACACACACACACAGAGAGAGAGAGAGAGCGAGAGAGAGATGGATTGAGTGTGTAAGGAGGTGTAGAAGGAGTGAGTGTGTGTGAGTGTGTAAGGAGGTGCAGGAGTGAGTGTGTGTGGGTGTAAGGAGGTGTATAAATCATATCATGGTCTGTCTGAATACTCAATTCTGATTGGCCGGCAGGTATGCATTAAAACTTGGTAGTTCCAAGTCAGTTTGATAATCGTTCTGTATTAATGTGCTGCTTTCATTAACACACACACACACAGAGAGAGAGAGAGAGCGAGAGAGAGATGGATTGAGTGTGTAAGGAGGTGCAAGAGTGAGTGTGTGTGTGAGGAGGTGTAGAAGGAGTGAGCGTGTAAGGAGGTGTAGAAGGAGTGAGTGTGTGTGAGTGTGTAAGGAGGTGTAGAAGGAGTGAGTGTGTAAGGAGATATAGGAGTGAGTGTGTGAGTGTGTTAAGAGGTGCAGGAGTGAGTGTGTGTGTGAGCGTGTAAGGAGGTGTAGAAGGAGTGAGTGTGTGTGAGTGTGTATGAGTGTGTAAGGAGGTGCAGGAGTGAGTGTGTGTGAGTGTGTATGAGTGTGTAAGGAGGTGCAGGAGTGAGTGTGTGTGAGTGTGTATGAGTGTGTAAGGAGGTGCAGGAGTGAGTGTGTGTGAGTGTGTATGAGTGTGTAAGGAGGTGCAGGAGTGAGTGTGTGTGAGTGTGTATGAGTGTGTAAGGAGGTGCAGGAGTGAGTGTGTGTGAGTGTGTATGAGTGTGTAAGGAGGTGCAGGAGTGAGTGTGTGTGAGTGTGTATGAGTGTGTAAGGAGGTGCAGGAGTGAGTGTGTGTGAGTGTGTATGAGTGTGTAAGGAGGTGCAGGAGTGAGTGTGTGTGAGTGTGTATGAGTGTGTAAGGAGGTGCAGGAGTGAGTGTGTGTGAGTGTGTATGAGTGTGTAAGGAGGTGCAGGAGTGAGTGTGTGTGAGTGTGTATGAGTGTGTAAGGAGGTGCAGGAGTGAGTGTGTGTGAGTGTGTATGAGTGTGTAAGGAGGTGCAGGAGTGAGTGTGTGTGAGTGTGTATGAGTGTGTAAGGAGGTGCAGGAGTGAGTGTGTGTGAGTGTGTATGAGTGTGTAAGGAGGTGCAGGAGTGAGTGTGTGTGAGTGTGTATGAGTGTGTAAGGAGGTGCAGGAGTGAGTGTGTGTGAGTGTGTATGAGTGTGTAAGGAGGTGCAGGAGTGAGTGTGTGTGAGTGTGTATGAGTGTGTAAGGAGGTGCAGGAGTGAGTGTGTGTGAGTGTGTATGAGTGTGTAAGGAGGTGCAGGAGTGAGTGTGTGTGAGTGTGTATGAGTGTGTAAGGAGGTGCAGGAGTGAGTGTGTGTGAGTGTGTATGAGTGTGTAAGGAGGTGCAGGAGTGAGTGTGTGTGAGTGTGTATGAGTGTGTAAGGAGGTGCAGGAGTGAGTGTGTGTGAGTGTGTATGAGTGTGTAAGGAGGTGCAGGAGTGAGTGTGTGTGAGTGTGTATGAGTGTGTAAGGAGGTGCAGGAGTGAGTGTGTGTGAGTGTGTATGAGTGTGTAAGGAGGTGCAGGAGTGAGTGTGTGTGAGTGTGTATGAGTGTGTAAGGAGGTGCAGGAGTGAGTGTGTGTGAGTGTGTATGAGTGTGTAAGGAGGTGCAGGAGTGAGTGTGTGTGAGTGTGTATGAGTGTGTAAGGAGGTGCAGGAGTGAGTGTGTGTGAGTGTGTATGAGTGTGTAAGGAGGTGCAGGAGTGAGTGTGTGTGAGTGTGTATGAGTGTGTAAGGAGGTGCAGGAGTGAGTGTGTGTGAGTGTGTATGAGTGTGTAAGGAGGTGCAGGAGTGAGTGTGTGTGAGTGTGTATGAGTGTGTAAGGAGGTGCAGGAGTGAGTGTGTGTGAGTGTGTATGAGTGTGTAAGGAGGTGCAGGAGTGAGTGTGTGTGAGTGTGTATGAGTGTGTAAGGAGGTGCAGGAGTGAGTGTGTGTGAGTGTGTATGAGTGTGTAAGGAGGTGCAGGAGTGAGTGTGTGTGAGTGTGTATGAGTGTGTAAGGAGGTGCAGGAGTGAGTGTGTGTGAGTGTGTATGAGTGTGTAAGGAGGTGCAGGAGTGAGTGTGTGTGAGTGTGTATGAGTGTGTAAGGAGGTGCAGGAGTGAGTGTGTGTGAGTGTGTATGAGTGTGTAAGGAGGTGCAGGAGTGAGTGTGTGTGAGTGTGTATGAGTGTGTAAGGAGGTGCAGGAGTGAGTGTGTGTGAGTGTGTATGAGTGTGTAAGGAGGTGCAGGAGTGAGTGTGTGTGAGTGTGTATGAGTGTGTAAGGAGGTGCAGGAGTGAGTGTGTGTGAGTGTGTATGAGTGTGTAAGGAGGTGCAGGAGTGAGTGTGTGTGAGTGTGTATGAGTGTGTAAGGAGGTGCAGGAGTGAGTGTGTGTGAGTGTGTATGAGTGTGTAAGGAGGTGCAGGAGTGAGTGTGTGTGAGTGTGTATGAGTGTGTAAGGAGGTGCAGGAGTGAGTGTGTGTGAGTGTGTATGAGTGTGTAAGGAGGTGCAGGAGTGAGTGTGTGTGAGTGTGTATGAGTGTGTAAGGAGGTGCAGGAGTGAGTGTGTGTGAGTGTGTATGAGTGTGTAAGGAGGTGCAGGAGTGAGTGTGTGTGAGTGTGTATGAGTGTGTAAGGAGGTGCAGGAGTGAGTGTGTGTGAGTGTGTATGAGTGTGTAAGGAGGTGCAGGAGTGAGTGTGTGTGAGTGTGTATGAGTGTGTAAGGAGGTGCAGGAGTGAGTGTGTGTGAGTGTGTATGAGTGTGTAAGGAGGTGCAGGAGTGAGTGTGTGTGAGTGTGTATGAGTGTGTAAGGAGGTGCAGGAGTGAGTGTGTGTGAGTGTGTATGAGTGTGTAAGGAGGTGCAGGAGTGAGTGTGTGTGAGTGTGTATGAGTGTGTAAGGAGGTGCAGGAGTGAGTGTGTGTGTGTGTGTGTGTGTGTGAGGAGGCACAGTGTAATAAATGCTGTCTGCTCCGCTGTGGCTGCAGGTTCTCTGCAGGAGATTGGTCTGGACACTCGTGTCCTCAGACTCGGTCAGACTGTAGCGCTCACTAATTCATTTTTCCTGCTGTCATAATGTGTGTGGAGAGTTTGAGCGGATCCTAACCAGAGCGAGCAGCTCCAGAGATTGGGCTGTTATCCGGATACGAGGCCCGAGAGCCACCACACAGCCAAATCAACAATCAGCTCTCTGATCTCAGCTCTGGCCTCCTGCTTCTCTCCATTCAGTTCTGCTCCTCCTCACTTTTGATCAAATGTTTCCATTTATTCATCTCAATGTGAATCATCGGAAATCCTCTATTTGGGTTCGATAACAATATTTTCTTAAAGGTATGAAATAAATATGTATATAAATACAGAATAGATGGTTAATTTCTGTGGTTTTTGTCTTCATAGAATACAGAGATTATATTATTTATATCAAATAATAATAATAATATCAAACAAAAATAAAAATGAATAAAAACGATAGACGTAGTTAAAAAAAAAAAAATGGACAAAAACACAACAAAATTGCTTTAAAATTAACATGAATACAGCAAATACATATAAAAACAATTCAGAATATAAAAAAAACTAACTATATTAATATGTCATACTAAAATAACACTGGGTGTAGCATGTTGTATAGCACACTTGCATTTTCCATAACCTTAAAAATAAATAAATAAATAAAATAGAAAAAATAACATAAGATAAATAAAACTGAGATTGTGTGAATAAAATGCATTAATCTTGTTAGAATTGTCCTTTTATTGATGCATTTGCCAACATTGAACTAGTGTTGCATTGGTTGGCTGTGAGAAGAGAAAAAAAGGGGATGTCATGTAAAAAAAAAAAAATCACACTGGATTAAATGTACAGTAGACTGTAGAGAAAGTGATCACAGCTCCTTGATATGGTGTAACGCGTGTGATTTCAAATCTAGTGTATTTTAGAGCAGACTACATCTTTGGAAAGCTTGCTTGACTAGTCTTGATCTTTTCACATGGATTTCCTCCTGTGGGCCACAAAGGTTGAATGTTGGCAAAGTCAGACATTTTCAGACATTCCTGAACTGTGTCTGTGAATGCATGTTTGTGCATCTGCCTCCTGAGGAAAATAATGTGACTGCATTTGTTTGGAGACTCTAAACTCATTCCTTCTCGTCTGTTTTTCTCCTCACAGAGGAAGAAGCGAAAGAACTCGAGGATGCCAAAGAATTAGAAGAAGCCAAATCAGGTCAGTTACTTACGATATTTTGTAGAATTGTATACGCAAGTTTGGAATTATTAAGGGTTTTTAATGTTTTTGAAACATTTTTATTTGATAAAAAATGCAGTAAAAACTCTATGTGGATATCTGTTAAACTGTAATGTATTTCTGTGATGCGCAACTGTATTTTCAGCATCATTGTCTTCAGTGTCACATGATCTTCAGAAATCACTCTAATATGCTGATTTGCTGCTCAAGAAACATTTCTGATTATTATCAATGTTGAAAACAGTTGTGCTGCACAATATGTTTGTGGAAACTGTGATACATTTTATTTTTCAGGATTCACAGATGAACAGAAAGTTCAAAAGAACAGCATTTATTTGAAATACAAATCTTTTGAAACATTATATAAATGTCTTTACTGTCACAGGAATAAATTATATAAAAAAAAAATTTCATATAGGATAATTTTGTTCTCAAATTACGGTGAGTAGAAGAGACTTCTTTCAAAAACTTATTAAAAAGACTTATTACAATCTTTTGAGCGTTAGTGTAAATGTACAGAATAATAGTTGTGTGTTCACATGACAGATGTAAAAGTCTCCACTGCCAGTAGCAGAAGATATGATGAATGCTATACATTTTTTGGTAGATATCTCTTGTATTAATGCTCGCTATTCTGGGCTCTGGCCCGACAGTCAAAAAGAGTCATGGTTGACTCTCTTAATGGCTCTCAATGGCGTTGTAGTAATTATATTTAATGTGAGGGTAAATGCGAAACGAATGTGAAGAGCGTAATAACAGGACTCTAGCCCAGAACAGATCTGATCTCTCTCAGCTGGACTCCGTCTCTCATCGTCTGATCTGGATCCGTGGCTCTCGAGAGCGTTTGTGGCTGTCGAGCGTCTCAGGTGAAGGCCAGAGTCCGGCTCGCTTGCCCTGTGGCTTCAATGCCATTAAAGATTCATTTGACTCTTTTAGTCTGATTGAATTATTCAGCCTGGCCGTGAGCAGCAGAGTTAATACTATGAGATTTTAATAAGCAGGCAGGTGAAGAGGGTCAGAGAAAGAGAGGAGAGAAAGGCTGGGGGCAGATAGTCAGACCGAGGTGTGTGCAGGGGCGGATTTAGTGAATTGGGGGCTCCAGGCAATATATAGGAATGGGGCCCTATACATTTGCACACATTTTAGATCAACCTTGAGGTTCCTTTTTTGTTGTGATGCTTGCTGCTGTACAATGGTGCCCCATAGTTGTGTCCAATGTTTCTACATTTTTCATGTACATGTTATAATATGTTGTAGACCACGAAATAGCAACTGATTTACAGTTGAGATACAGGTTTTCACAAAAACAAAATAAATTATAAAATAACAAACCTCACAATTGAGCGTTTAAACCAGGGGTGAGCCAGAACTATAAATTATTATATTAATTTAAAACGGGGTTATGTGGGTGGATTTTCGCATTGGTCTGAACAAAAATTACAGACTGGATTATTGAAAATGAACATTCATTCTCTGCCAGCAGGAGGCGCTTTTGGAACGTCAGAAATATAGAATGAGAAAAGTGTGAAAAAATATAGCCTATATTAACGAGGAAAGTCCACTGATGAGTTACCAGCGTAAGCCTGTGTGCAAAGGCTGTCTAATTCTAAACTTGAAAATACATTTATTTTTAGTTATTTTAACTACAAATTTAATGATCAGTGAAAGTAATGACCAAATGATCAGTGAAAGCAGAACGAATGTGTCACACGTTTTAAACTCAACAAAATGGTAAAATACATATATCAAGAGCATGCTCACAGATGAGAACACGTTGCGTTGGATAAAGTGCATTAAAGCCCTGCACGGGCCTCAAATATAGGCCCTAGCCCGTCTTTTTTCCCCTTTTCCCCCCCAAAAAAATTAAATAGTTCAGTTTTGCATGTAATGGAAAAGTGATTATATTTCATTTCGGTTTTTTATAAAGTTAATTTAGAAAAACGTTTGGAGCATTTTTTTGTTCGTTAAATGACCTAAGTTTTTTTTTTTTTTTAAATAACGGCCAGCGGCAGACAGTGAATTGATTAATTTAATTAAATTTAGCCTTCTCAAATCATCACGACTTGCCTAAAACAAAATCTCTATATAAAACAGTTCAAGCATATCACAATGTTTAAATGTTTAACCTAGCTAAATGTGGGCAGCACATGGAGGCGCCGGAGCGATCACTTGCATTTTTTTCTAAAGGTGCAAACAACTTAAAATACGCAGCCATTTTTGCTCATAAAGGTAAGAGTAATACATCATTATAAACTGTAAAGGGTCTAGTTTTATTTGTGTGTACTCACAATATCAACAAAACGTTGTGTTTTTATAAAATAAAGAAAACAAACACTTTCTGCCGTCTCGGTCTTGAACAGGAGCGCTTCACACAATCTCAGAAAAAAAGGTACAAAAGCTGTCACTGGGGCGGTACCTTTTCAAATAGGACACTTTTGTACTTTTTAGGTACTAATATGTACACTTTAGGTACTTATATGTATCTTTAAGGTACCAATATGGACTCTTTAGGTACAAAGGTGTGCCTTTTGAAAAGGTACCGCCCCAGTGACAGCTTTTGTACCTTTTTTTCTGAGAGTGCAACGATGAACCTAAACTCCGTGAATTGCCTCACAGACATGATGAAAATATATAGAAAGCTTTAAATTACTACTTTAAAACGAAATAATTCAAATTGAAAGTAGAAACTCTTTTTAAAGGAGATGGCGAGTCTTTTTTTTCCATCACCATAATTGATGGATGTCTAAAATATAAAAATAAGGAAAAGCCTAAAACTGTCAGACTCTGTTCCGTGTTTTGTGGTTGTTTTCCTCATGTGCCTTCCTTTCCCATGTTTAATTTGTCCCAGGTGTTTCCCATGATGTTTCATTGCTCCCAGGTGTGTCTCGTCATCCCCTCCTCCTGTGTGTATAAATAGTGTTCCCTGTGTGTGCTCCAGGGTCCGGTATTGTTTGTGTCTACAGTGCTACGTGTGATTCCCCGTGAAGAGTATTCAATTCCTTGGTTTCTGTAGTCTTGGTCTCCTCGTTCCTTGCTCCGTGTTCCCGCACCGTAGCAGATCGTGACAAAAATAGGCCCGATTATAATTTGCGTTTTATTTTATAATTCCGTACAATTAATTTGAATAAAACACAAATTATGATGGCATATATGTAAAACTTTGTCCTATAATTGTTTAGCTGCTTTTTCTGATTTTTATGTTGCTCTGTTCTGAATGCCTTAAAATGTAAAGGATTTGCTGCAACGCAATTTGGTATGATATGTTAATTATTTATTAGCCTATTTTTTTTATCCATGCAGCAAATGCTTTAAAAACAGCTTTAAAATTACTTTATTGCATTCCAGGGGCTTTTAAAGTACTTTTCACTATAACGGTAGCTTAAATGTACAACATTGTCATGAATTCGTTGTATTCCCATTTGTAAAATAGCTCGATTTTCTGCTTCTATTTGGCATAATATTTCTATGCAGAAATTGACTTTGACATGCAAAAGACTGATAAATTCATAATTAATGGCATGGCTGGTTCAGTCGACAGAAATACGGGACACACAGGCCTATAATAACTGCTGAAATGTTTGCGGGGCAAATCTCAGATCATTCTGAGCGCTCATGGTACTCACAGTGCGTGTGTGTGTGTGTGCTGGTGTGTGTGTTGTGTGTGTGTGTGTGTGTGTGTGTGTGTGTGTGTGTGTGTGTGTGTGTGAGTGTTTGTGTGCTGATGTGTGTGTGTGTCAGATGACGTGCTGAGTAGACAGGCTGGGATTCCCTCATGCCACTTTAGCATCAGCACTTTCTCATTTGACTCGTATTGGACTCAGAGTCATTATAACTCTGTTGATGCGTGCGAATTAATGTTTGGCACACAGAGATTCGATGAGAGTCAATAGTGAACGTGTGTTGTAATTACATAGTCCTAAAATAACGATGTGATCACTTTTCCTGTATACTTAATGCAACAGGTGTCCACATTTAATCGCAAAGTGTTGTTAGGAAGTTGTTTGAATGCAAACGTTTGGCGTTTTATAAGCATCATTACCACATCCATCGAAAAAAAAAAAAGAAAAAAAAAAGGTAAAGTATAAAGGTAAAAAAAATAAGTAACTTAAAATAAATGACATTAACTAAAATAAAATATAAAAAAGCTTATTTTATTTCAGCTAGTTGACAAGGCAACATTTCTCCTTTTCATTTAGTTTACCTGGATGTACTTAAAGGGTTAGTTCACCCAAAAATGAAATTTGTTCATCTTCGGATATCTTAATCTGTGTTCTGAAGATGAACGGAGGTCTCACAGGTTTGGAAAATTAGTGACAGAATTTTAATTTTGGGGTGAACTAACCCTATACATAAAAAACTAAAACTGATCAATCTGAAATAAAAATTTATAAAAATATATCACTATATTTAAAAATAATAATACATGGCCAAAAAGAAAAAAAAAACCCACACACAAATAAATTACTAAATATAAACTAAAAATTAAGCTTAAAATAAAAAATACAAATAATAAAACCATAATATTTAAAAAAATGTTTATAGTATGTCAGTGATTCTAAAATAACACTGGTAGAGATCAAAAGTGATGCTCTTGCTGAAATTTAATATAAGTCATTTTAAATGTCCCATTGTTGGCAGATACTTTCCATTGAACTAAATGTAATTGTTTTAATTTAATTTAATTTAATTTAATTTAATTTAATTTAATTTAATTTAATTTAATTCATTTTTTTTGCTGTTTTATCTTACTGTATTACAAATTGCAAATAAAACATTCCAGAAACATAATGTTGGCAGGTTGGATTTTTCTCAAGCACAATCTATAAACAAGATTATTTACACTTCAATTGTGAAATATTGTAATGTACAGATAATTTTAAAACCTTAATAAATGGTCTGGGTTTGTTGTTGCTTCACAAACACTTTTTACTGTCATTTTGAGGCTGTTGAATCCTACCTAGCAGCTTTCACAGCGCTTCTAAAACTTTTATCTAGTCTGTATTTTTGTTGTAGCAGAAGATTTGTTCCTGCAGTGTTACGGAGCTGAAACCGAAGCGCAGTGTTGTGTGAAACGCTCTGTACATGCTGGGCTGCTTCATTTTCACTCACACACACTCACTGTCATCACTCCCATCGCCTCGCTCAAGGCTGCACCTTAAAGATGGATGGCTTTTATCACAGCCCTGTTTAAAGATTAAACCCAACCAGCTTATCATGCTATGCTTGCCTTTGAGAGCCGATGGCTAAAGATCGTTTAATTGCCTTTCCTGAATGGTTCGTTTTGCGTGACAAATAGTCATTTATGCCGACAGGTCAAGGACAGGGTCACTTTATTTCGCCCCCTACTGGACAGAATATGTTAGCTTTGTGTAAACATGCTTTCAGTTGACCACAAACACACTGACAGTGATTTTATGAGCCATGCAAATATTGTTGAAAAAAAGGAACAGAAATCAACTTTATACAAATTATGAATGTCTATGATGCATTATAATACATATTGTAAAATACTTCTAATTTCTGTTGAAGTTGAAGTAATGAAATATAAAAAAATAGATGTTTAAAAATAATCATAATAATAAAAATTACAAAAACATAATAAAAATGTCTAAAAATTAACTAAAATGAAGATAGAAAAATATGGACAATATTAATAAAACTAATAAAAATGACAAACACAAAAATATTACAAAAATTTTAACTAAAATGAAAATAGAAAAATATTGACATATTAACAGAAACTAATAAAAATTACAAAAACAATAAAAATTACTAAAATGAAAATAGAACAATTTAAGCAACAAAAAGTCAAGAAAAATACAAAAACAATTACTAAAATGAAAATGAAAAATGAAAAAAAAAAACGTAAAATTTAAAATGACTAAAAATTAAAACAAAATAAAATATTATTCAAAATGTTAACACAAACTATAATAGTACATCAGTGATGCTAAAGTAGCAGTTCTAAGCATTCAGACTAATGACTTATGCATGACCAATGTTTATAAAAGTATTAAAGAATTAAAATATGACAGTTATAATATATTATAATATCTACTTATTCATTGTCAATATTTTAAATATTATAAAACATAACAAAACTAAATAAGATAAATCTGGTGTTGATCATGTTGTAATGCATTATACTGATATTAAAGATATTAAATGTATTACCAGGAATGCATTTGTATTGTTATGTTTGGGGTAATTTATGAGCAAACACAGCTGATATTATTATGAATGCATTATAATCCATCAATAGCACATGTACGGTGCATTATACATGCAGAGTGTTATGAAACTTCCATTGCGTGTATTTCCTCTGCTAAGAGTTGCTGCTGTAAATAAATCTGATCAGTTGTGCACACACACACACACACACACACACACACACACACACACAGCTCTATTCAAGTCCAAGACAGGGCTTCTTACAAAAGCATTTCTGTTCTTCAACGAGTCCAGGAAGCCTTCCCACTTCTCGGAACATGCCTGAGATTATACAGAGCCAAAGTGGTGCCTCTCTCTCTCTCTCTCTCTCTCTCTCTCTCTCTCTCTCTGTGCTTCCACCCTCCCCAGACCCTCTCTTTAAAAACAAGAGGGAAATGCTTCCCTGACTTCCCCCTATAGAACACTTCCTCCCTCAATCTCTCTCCTCCTCTTCCTTCTCTCACTCCTCCCTGTCTTCCACTTTGCACGCCGTGGTTCTCCCTCTCTTTCACACTCTTTGGCGGCTCTCATTCACTCTTCCTCGCCTTTGACATGTTCTCTCGTTTGCGTTCCCAGCCTCATAACAGCCTCATATTACAGTCATTTAAACTCCTGTTCCTCCCTCATACAAACATAAGCATCTTATAAATCATGACCCGGTTGGTGTCATGGTTTTATCATGAATTTGTGCAGCTTCCATAGATGTGAACAAAACACTAACCCTGAGTAATTAAATCTTGGCATGTAACTGTGGAAGCTGTATGTAAATACATATGCACACATTACATTTCCGTACATGAAATATATTGTCAGATGAAGTGAAAACGTATATGAAACCTATTAAAAATGTGAAAATATCTTGCCCATACGAATATGTATGCTTTTGTGTGTGTAATACATTTTTTGGAAATATATGTCATATACATGTATATCCATACTAAAACCAGTCAATACATGATGACATTAGTAATATAAAATTAGTAAATATTAGTATTAGTAAGGATATTAGTAAATATAAAAGATAATTTTTTTTTTACAAAAACATATATAACTATACAGGTTTTTGTATATATGTCATTTTAATTAAGCTGCTTATATACAGTGGTGTGAAAAAGTGTTGGCCCCCTTCCTGATTTCTTATTTTTTTGCATCTAATATTTAAATTTGTTTGATGATCTGAAACAATAAAGTGTGACAAACATGCAAAAAATAAGAAATCAGGAAGGGGGCCAACACTTTTTCACAACACTGTAAATAAAATATATTTAATAAATATATCATTGACATGTGGTTGCTACATACAAAAAATAATCATGTATGTAACATATATTAATTTCTTTTTTGTTTAAAGTTGAATTACTAAAATAAAAGTCTAAAAGATGAAGTCTATAAGAAACTATAAAGAAATACAAGTCTATAAAGAAATAAAAAAAATAAAAGTGACAAAAACACACAGCAAAATAACTAAACCTTTACTTAAAATTAAAACATATACAAGAAATTAAAGTCATAAACTATAATAATATATCAGTGATATTAACATACACACTGTTCAAAGTGTTCAGACTTTTTGCATGGCTGGTGCTTATAAAGGCAAAGAAACGGAGTTTACAGTACAGACAGAATAGAGCATACATAACACACACACACACAAACACATTCTTCGTTTCTCTCCTTCTGTCATTTTTTCCTCCATTGACGTCATTGTTATAGATTTTTTCATGCCATTCGTGCCGTGTCTGTCTGGCATGGGATTGCAACCCTTGGCAACTGAACTGAACGCCCCAGGGATCTCCATTCATCCGGCTCTGTGTGCCCATGTGTGTGTTTGTGTTTGCATGTACACAGTTAAATGTCACACACCGTGGCACCTCTGAAAAACAGCAGCTGATAACACAGGTCTTGTGTTTGAGTGTTGGGCAGCGTGTAACGATGTTGGGTGTAGACTGCAGTTTGCTCTCCGGGGAGTATGAGCCTGAGATGGTTGTTACTAGCTCAGACCAGCTCAATACTGCGTTTTTTTTTTACTAGCCTTCTGTTGTTTACCTCTTCTTTTTTTCCCATGTCCTTAAAGAAAACTCTCTTCTTCTCTCTTTGTTTCAGCTGCAACACCTCTAAAGAGCTAAAGTCGGAGACCACAGGTAAGACTCTTTATCATTTAGCTCTGGCCAAGATATTCTGCTGTTTCACTGGAATATTTATGATTGTTTTTATTTTTATGTTTTCAACAAAATCCTCTTTTCTTTTGTTTTCTTCTTTTTTTTATTTTTTAGAAGAGTTTATCGAAAACAAAATGTATCACATTTTTCAAAACAGAGCAGACTAGAAATTTTAGCATTCTGGGAAAGTATGAATCCTTGTAACATGGTCCATTTATTTTATTAAATGTAATTTTTTTAATGTAATATTTGAAAGAAAGTGAAAGTGACGTGTGGCCAAGTATTGTGACCCATACTCGGAATTTGTGCTCTGCATTTAACCCATTCAAGTGCACACATACAGCAGTGAACACACACGCTCTCACACACACACACACACACTCTGTGAACAGCCATTTCTGCTGCGGTGCCCGGGGAGCAGTTAAGGGTTCGGTTCTTGCTCAAGGGTCTCACCTCCGTCGTGGTATTGAAGGTGGAAGAGAGCGCTGGACATTCACTCCTCCCACCTACAATCCCTGCCGGACCTGAGACTCGAACCCACAACCTTCGGGCTACTAAGTCTGACTCTAACCATTAGGCCACGACTGCCCTAATGGTTAGAGACTGCCCTAATATTTAGTATATATATATAATTTTTATACATAAATGTATTTTAGTTTTTTATGTGACAATTTTTTTTAGGTTTGATAATTCAAAGATTCTGAAAATGCTCCATATTATGTGTGTATGGTTATAGGGAATTCATACTGAAAAATTAAACACAAGTAAATAAATAAATAAAAATCCTTCAAATTCTTTCTTTCTGTCTTTCTTTTTATTTATTTATTTAAATTTTACAAATATGTAATTAAATCATTTAAAACGTAAAATATTTATAAATATTTTCTAATGTGTATTTATAAACATATACATGTATTATACAGTAGGCTATAATACAAATTGATATATGTTTGATATTTTAAAGACTCTGGAAATGCCCCATATGTTGTGTGTAGGGTTATGGGGAATGCATACTGAAAAATTCAAAACTAAAAGTAAATAAATAACTTTTAAAAAATATTGTATTTACAATATTGTATTTATTTATTTATGTATTTATTTGGTTATTTATATAATTTTACAAATATGTAATTAATTCATTTAAAATATAAAATATTTATAAATATTTTATAACGTGTATTTATAAACACATATATGTATATACAGTATAATACAAATTTCTATAGGTTTGATATGTTGTGTGTACGGTTATGGATAATTCTTACTGAACATTTAAATTATTCCTACAAATTCTTACTGTATTATTCCAGTTTAATTCAGCTGAAATTTACAATTTTGCATCCTGCTGCCTCACTTGAAATTCTGGAATTGGATCGGTGATTAAAATCCATTTTCAATTGAATTCTGAATGGCACACAACCCCGTCTGTGACAAGTGTTTTCAAGCAGCATGCTCTGCAGCAATCTCCATTTTAATAAAGCGTCATTATCTTTATTCTGTGAAGGGCGTTCAGAAGATCCCGAAGTCTTGACATTCTGCTTCGAATAATATCCACTAGGTGAATGGTTGCCATGACGAATTCATTTCAGTGTCAAGTCATTAAAGTGGCCTGGTGGACTCTCCTCTGCCCTACCATGCTAAGCCTGATTACTGCTAATCGCCAGCCCTTTGAATCATTAAAAAGCCAGACACAGGTGCAAACGTATAGGGACGAGGTTGCAGGACAAAATCTATTTGAAACAGGGGGAGTTCGAGAGAAGAAGAAGAAAAAAAAACTGCCTGTTACTAAGACAAGGAAATTAAATGACATAATTTGCTTTCCCAGACGCGTAGGAGGCAGACTGACACACTGACATCGACAAGTCACACTATTTTTAACTGCCACTCATACGTCTTAATTACAAAGTAAAGAATAAGTGATTCCGCCTCTCGTGTGAGAAATTGGCATTGTGAAATTGGCCAGTGCGCTGTCTAGGGATGTTAGATTATGTTCTGACAAAACACAAACATTGTTTAGATCACAGCAAATGGAGTAGACGTGTCCATCATATCTAAAGTAACCAGGCTTGCTGAGATTAGGAATATTGCATTAATATTATCGTCATGGCCAGATGGTAGTTTTCTAAACTCAACACAACAACAATCTTACTTTGCTTACTTTGTTCACTGTGCTGAGGAGGAAGACTGACCCAGTGTCCCTGGTGATGTCCAGTGTGCCCAAGGCAACCTAAACTGCTTTGTTTCCAGATCTGTGTTTGTTTGCACTAGGGTATTTTTGGAAATTGCATCATGAACCCTTGTAAAAGGCCTGAGGGCTTCCCTAGTTTCATAACATCATCCATCTCTGCTGTTCTTCTGAGAACTGTGGGTCAGATTCATACAAATTAGATGTTCTTGACCTGCAAGAGCTGTTTGGGAGTCTTTGGGTGCATCATATAGGAAGCATATCATATGAGTCTTTATTCAGAGGGAACAATGTAAATTAATGAGGTAATGATCTTTTTCAGCGAGAATTTGCAGTTCAGTCTGTCCTGCTGATGAAAAATAAAAAAAAAATTTCTAAATCTTGTTTGCGTTAAGATGATAAAAAGCTGATTTAGTTATTGCTTTGATTTGATTACTGAAACTAATATTTTTAAAAACAGGAGAGGTCCAAGGATTGAGCCATGGGGGTTTCCACATGTCATTGGGATGATTTAGATTCATAATTGACTGCTTATATGTAATAAACCCTAAATATGGCCTAAATCAGCTGAGGACCATCTCAGGGGTCCTATCCAGTTTTCTAGTCTGTCCTGGTGCATATTGTGGTTGATGGTGTCAAAAGCAGCATCTAATAATAAAACTAGCACTGATATTTTCTTTGAATCCGTAATTAGGAAGGATATATGAGTCTTTATCGAGGGGGAAACATGTAGATAAAGTGATGAACAGGAACTTGTGATCAGCCGCACCAGCGTATGTTTTTTTTTTAAATACATAAATAAATGAATAAATCAACAGCCCTTTAAAGGGGTCATATGATGCTATTTTAAAGATCATTATTTGGTGTAACAGAATATGTTGACATGCTTTAATGTTAAAAAAACACATTATTTTTAAAATACTGTACATTATTGTAGGTCCTCTATGCCCCGCCTCTCTCAAACGTGTCGTTTTCAACAAAGCCCCCTCCTTTGAAAAACGCAGTCTGCTCTGATTGGCCAGCTGACCCAGTGCATTCTGATTGGCCGAACACCACAAGCACGCGTCGGAAATGTAACGCCCCTTACCATAATCGCAGCTTCAGCTTTCAAAGTAATGCTGTTCTGTTGTAAATACATCTTAACCAATGATTCCTAATTGTATCTACTTCCGGAAGACCAAATGAAGTGCTTTTGCTTTCACACTGAAACACACAGCGTCTCCCTGACATGGCTGCATCAACACGACTGCTGTTCCTGAAACCACGCCTTCTTTCTTTGCGTGCACATTTGGGCGGCATTATGCTAATATTTCCACATAGTGACGTAGATATGTGGGGGCGTGTTAGAACGAGCCGTTTTAGGTAGGTGTGGCTGACTCTTAACTTTTATAAAGAATATCTCTTTGGATTTGAGACTTTAGTCTTTGCAACTTTACAGATCTTCTTTATGCACCAAGAGCTTGTAACACTCCAAAGAGAAAGGACTTCTGCATGACTCTGCATGAACTGATTTAGTTATTGCTTTGACATGACATGCACGGCCCCCTCAAATCCCTCCACAACACACTCACATTCTTGCTTCTGCTCTCTCACTTTCCGAGGGGTCCAAAGTAAATTAAACATATGCGGATGAATGAATGAGCAAAAGCACACATTGATTGGTGCGATATAGTGGAGAAATCAGAATCTTAACTCTTTCACACTCAAATTATGTAATGCGGACACTAAAATATGGCTTTATTGCTACTGTAAATGCAGCCATAATTGATAATCAATAGGAAAAAAATATATTTATGACCATATTTTATTGGTTATTTCTAATTTGCATCACCATACACTTTTTGAATAGTAGTAACATCTAAATAATTATACATTTGGATTTTAAGAAAATATTTAAATAAACTTTTAGGTAATATTTATTATAAATTCACTAAGAGCTGGAATTCAGTATTGATATTATTATTTCTCTTTTGTTGGTTTTGATTGCTCCTATTTTCATAATTTGTAAGTCGCTTTGGATAAAAGTGTCTGCTAAATGACTAAATGTAAATGTAATGTAAATGACATGACCACTGAATCTAAGATTTAAAAAAAAAAAACAGAAGAGGTCCAAGGATCAAGCCTTGGGGGTTTCCAGATGTCATAAAGGTCCATTTAGATTCATAATTGCCTCTGAGGTAATCTTGCCGTGTTTGAGGTAATTGTCAAAACAACACTATTCAATGCTATTAAGACACCAGGTGTATCATTGTTTGAGTATTGTTAATAAAATCAACACATACCTGGATTAGAAATTTGCTTGAGTTGAGTATTTTTATTATGTGAGTTGACTATATTTTATTATAGTTTATGTCACTGTTGCGATTACATTTTTTTTTTAAACAGGAGAGGTCCGAAGATTGAGCCCTGTGGGTCTCCACATGTTATAGAGGTCTATGTAGATTCATATTTGCCTGTTTATATGTAATAACCCATAAATAAAACCTAATGATCTAAATCAGCTGAGGATAATCTTAGAGAGTCCTGTTCAAGTAGCCATTTGAGTCTAGGAATGTGTTCTGCTGACTGAGAAAAAAACATTCTCAATGATCTTGCCTATAAAGGGAAGATTTGAAATAGGTCTGTAGTTGTTTATTACAAAATTATCCAGATAGCACTTTTTTTTTAGGACCAGCTAAAAACTGCAGTATTCAAGACAAAGGAAGGATGCCTGAAAGGAGCCAATAGCTATTTTTAATAGGTCAGTTACTGGACAGTTGAACACACTTTCAAAGAAGGATGTGGGCAGCAAGACAGC